AAACAAGTGTTTCCCAATTCCCAATAATATTAGATAACTCTAAAAGTTTACAAAACCCTTGTCTGTCTAAGGTTTTTCTTGAGAATAGCCAAAACCCTATGCTATACCTTTAAGCCTTGTTATACATTGTTGGTGTAAACTCTAAGATTGTTACAATATAATAACATAAGAGATACATATTTATAATAGCCAAAATCCAACAAATCCATATCAAATCCCAAAATATATCTCCTTAATTGTTAGAATAAAAGATATTATTATAATCTTATAATAACTCTCAAATATTATAAATATTTTATAATATCTCTTAGACTATTATAAATATATATCTTATAATACCTTTTAGAATATTATAAGTATATATCTTATATTATCTTTTAAAATATTATAAATATCTTATAATATATTATTATACTAATTTATATGATCTTCAAATTAATATAAAATATTTAAACATTAATGAATGAATCAATGAATCGAATCGACTAATCCTGATATCCATTAATCGCTCGAACCAGATTACTTTTTGGCTTTTTGATTTTTTGGTAATCTCTAAACATGTTTTCTTTCTCTTCATCAACACAAGTTTTAAGGAATATTCCAACAATCTCCATCTTGACTTTAAACCGTGTTGATACCAATTTAACCATAAACAACATTGCTGCTCTCTACCAAGTTGAAACTTTAATCAATAACCTTGATCAAATTCATGAAACCGTTGAATCTTGATCTCGCCACTTGCATCCACTTGTTTCCAATTACCCTTTTCTTTCTAGGTAGTTTACAAGCCTACAAGTATGATTTTTCAACCACCCTTGACTCCTCCTGTTTTCAAATGCCTCCCTGAAGGTTTTTCTTCTTTTATTTTGCAGTCCTTCAACCACATTGAAAACATAATATCCAAGGCTAGCATAATTATCCCTTTGAGATGCTACAATAATCCTCCTTACTTTATCACGAGTCAAATGATAATCAGATATATTTGTAGTTGTTCCCTCACTACTACTAGTATCCATAGTAGGAAACTCCACCTTAAACTGAATTTTCTCCGTGACAGTTTTTCCCAGGTTTCTCCCTTGATTTTCACTATTCTCCCTCTGAAGAAATTATCCACCAACTAAGTAAGTTGTTTTAACCTCAACTCTTCCCCAAAAACTCAATAACAACTCAATGGTAATATGCATTTTTATCCTTTGATTCCTGCAAAATTCATTATACTCCTCTAAAACTTTCTTAAGGCATTCATAACGTCTTAAACCCAAATCCCATAGTTCTTCCTTGTCATGAAAGTCTCCACTAGTTAATGATGAATAAACAACATTGAAACCTTCTAAAATATATAGACCACATATTTTATACCCTTTAACAATAATCAATTCATCACGCAAAATCTTCAACACTCCATGTTCAACTCTAGTACAATAGCCTAGATCATCAAACATACTTATAGATAACAAATTTCGCTTGAGTTCTACAATATACCTCACATTGTGAATAAGATTTTCACGATCATCAAACATTTTAAATATGATCATACCAATACCATGAACCTTGCAAGCCTTATTATCACCAAGGTGAACTACTCCTCCTTGCATCATATTCAAAGTTTCAAAGTATTCTATTCTTGGACACATGTGATAAGAGCAACTTGAGTCAATGACCCAATTATTTTTAGTTTTCAAACTCGATATTACTAGTACATCGGCATCCTCATAACTTTCCTCACCCAAGGCAACTGCAGCTTGGACAAAATCTTCATTGACCTTTCTCTCAGGACAATCCCTTTTAAAGTGACAGATTTTCTGACAATTAAAACATTTTACCTTTAACTTGTCAGACTTCTTTGATTTGGACATCTCTTTACGCTCACCTCCTCCTCTTGCCACATTTAAGACTTCACCACTATCTTCAATCATTAAGTCTTTCGACTTTGAAAAATCTTTGGATTTCACTGCCGTTTGGACTTCATCCAAAGTAATAGTATATTCCTTACCATAAATAGGGGCATCCTTAAAGTGCTCAAAGGATCTGCGTAATTAACTCAACAGGAGTAAAGCCTTGTCCTCATCATCAATCTTCACTTTAATATTCTCAAGATCATCAATAATCTTGTGAAATTCTGTAAGCTACTTAATTATGGATTTATGCTCCACCATTCAGAATGAATATAATTGTTGTTTCAGACGCATACTGTGATCTAAAGACTTAGTCATAGACAATATTCAAGTTTTACCCACATAGCAACCGTAGTTTCCTCCTTGGAGACCTCTCTTAGAACTTTATCCCTGAGGCATAAGATAATGGCACTTCTGGACTTATCCATCATCTCGGTCTTCTATATCAGTGTAAGACCTGCAAGCATCAATGCTTCACTCTTCAAAATATCAATACACTTCTCTTAAATTAAAATTGCTTGCATCTTAATTTTTCATAACCCGAAGTCGTTGTTTCCAAAAAAATTCCCGATCTCCCATCTTCCCATGGTGTTCACTTGTAAATAATACCCCTTTGCTCCACGCTCACCGTACAACTTGTTGTGAATCTTGTTGTTAATTACGAAAAATATTCAATATCAGTTTGTGAGGCAAAGAATAGTAGCAATCAAAATAAATAATCTACAATAATAATAATCCTTACACAAATTATATAATAGAATAAGGCGAGAAAAAGACGAAGGTTTGTTTACCCACTTTGATCAAACGATCTACTCTGGGGGAGATAATAGCTCTCAAATTCACTATACTCAGAAAGTTGTTACAAGAGATTACAGATTAGTTACAAGAAAATAACATTTTCCTTCAAGTTCCCAAGAACAACCCTGAAGGTGTCCAAGAATTACCCTATTTTCTACCTAAGTGTTTCCCAACCTCTTCAACCTTCAATATATGAATAACTCAAACTAAAGGTGTAAACAAGTGTTTCTCAATTCTCAATAACATTAGATAACTCCAAAGGTTTCCAAAATCCTCGTCTTTCTAAGGTTTTTCTTGAGAATAGTCAAAATCATATGTTATGCCTTTAAACCATTGTTCCCCCTTATTGGTGTAAACTCTAAGATTCTCACACTATAATAACAAAAGAGATACATATTTATAATAGCCAAAATCCAACGAATCCATACACAATCTGAAAATATATATTCTTAATTGTTAGAATAAAAGATATTATTATAATTTTATAATATCTCTCAAATATTATAAATATCATATAATATCTTAGACTATATATATATATATATATATATATATATATATATATATATATATATATATATATATATATATATATATATATATATATATATATATATATATATATATATATATATATATATATATATATATATATATATATATATATATATATATATTATATATTAATTTATTTGATTTTCAAATTAATATAAAATATTCTACCATTAATGAATTGATCAATGAACTGAACCGACCGAATTCGATATCCATAAATTACTCAAACCAAATTACTTTTAGACTTTATGATTTTTTGACAATCTCTAAGCATGTTTTTTTTTAAACTTCATCAACACAAATTTTAAAACATATTCCAACAAAATACATAATAAATTAATAGCTTAATAAATACACGTAAATTGTCCTCAACAACTACATAAGTTTTTCACAACTAATACATATGAATGACTCAAATTTAAAACACAACAAATTCCTCAAATACTACATATGAATTCAAACATAACTTATCAAAGCCTTACCATCCCATTCTTTTTCAATTTTATTAATATAATTTCTCATGTCTTTTTTCATAAAATGGAATATTTTCATGCTCCCTGCATCTTTAACAAGCGATTGAAAATTTTTGTTTCTCCTTACTCGCACATCATTATTGATTTGGATTGTTCTCTTCACGTGTAAGTTTAATTTTTGGTTGGCCTTGAACAATCTTGCTTTTGTAGGGCTAGTCCCATTAGAATGGTTAGATTTATATTGTATAATGTACCACAAATCATCCTCTTTCAATTTAATACAATCTTGGCAAGACAATTTTTTGAAATGTGACGAGCACCGCCATGTTCGTGTTGAGATATTCGCTTTTAGAGTTTCGCTGTCGTGAGGAACGAACTTGGTGAGAGTGAGAAAAGAAAACTACATTGAAAGATATGAGAGAAACAAAGATTAAATCTGATTATAGAAACTTTTTTTAGGTTAAGGTAACACTCACTCTCTATTTATCAAATTGCCTTTATTGATTTGGAGAATTACATAAAACCATTATTTAAAAACACCCACTCTCTATTTACCAAATTGCCTTTATTAATTTGGAGAATTACATAAAACCATTATTTGAAAAAATTATATACAATTTAGTGTAAAAACTACATGTCAATATATCATAAATATTTAAGTTATTATTTTAGTACGGTGTAGTGTACAAATGCAATGTCAAAATAGCAAAAATTGTTTATATGTTATTAATTAAATAGTCTTAATGGTTGGAAAATACATATTTTATTTTTTTTCAAATAAGCTCTTTAATATTTTAAATTTTGGTTGGATACAAGAAAGCAAAATTTATTTCAAATTTAAGTTTATTTAAAAATAAATTAATTTTTTTAAATAACATAGCCATTAATAGATATGATCAATGCAATGATAAGTGTGTATAAATCATATAAACCCAGAAATCTCTAAAAATTTCAGAAATTTTAGATTGAAAATGATAATATATAATCTACCAAATATTAAATATTAAATAGACAAATATTTGATTTATCTTTTTATATTTCATAAATAAAACAATCCAATAAAAAATTTAATTATGGAAACCGAAATTTGATTTTTTCTTAGAAAAAAAATGCAAAAAAGCCAATAATAATAATAATAATAATAATAATAATAATAATAATAATAATAATAATAATAATAATAATAATAATAATAATAATAATAATAATAATAATAAATAATTAAAATTTATTAATTTATTATACAAGTCAAAGTTGAACGGAAAAAAATAAAGGTTAACTATTCCCGGAGGAAGCGATGGTAATTATCAAATGCGGCGGCGGGAACAGCCACCGTGACCTTGACACTGTCTCTTTCACACTTCACCGGCACAAATAAACAGTACCTTTCGTTGCAAATGGGTCCCACAAACACCGGCTTCTCCATTCCAAGCTCAACTCTGTCCAAACCCATCCTCGACCACTGCGTCAGTATCAACACACCCACCAAGTCAGGACTCGCTCTTGACTCGGACACCAACTCAGCCACCCTCTTCACATATTCATTATCCACTCTCTCCTTTGCTTTCTTCACCAAACCCGACCCGTACCCGATTCCTCTTTCTCCTAGTTCCCTCGCACTCGCCTGCGCGCACGCCATTACGATCGCATTTCCGTAGTATCCATCAGGTAAACCCGGTTTGACCCGGTTCCGTACGTTCACGCTGAACAACAGCTTCAGTATCTGATTCGGCGGGAACACCACTGCTCTCGCCCAGCTCCTCCACACGTGCGCTGCAAGCACCTCAAACGAGGTAAAAAACGAGTCAGCGATTTGACACGTGCGTCGAGCTACACCTTTGAGTTCGGTTAATCGTCTCTTGTCGAATATAACACAAGTTGGCTTGAGATTATTCGTGACACGGTTCATGAACCCGCATAGATCCGGCACTCTGTTGAACTCGGGGTGACTCAGCGAATCACCACGAATCATAGGTTTTACATTGAACACGTGACGATCCCAAACGGCTTTTGGTTTTGGACATCCTTGTCTTCCCGAAGCCAACTCTCCGACATAGTTGAGAAATTCAGCTCCGCCAATACCATCGCAGATACAGTGATTGATTCCGATTCCCAAAGCTGCACCGCCGTCGGATAGCCATGTCAGCTGAAGAATCAGCGGTGGCGATCCGTTGAGAACGTCAGGGACGCTAACGGACAAGAGTTTTCTCCACTGCAAAACCGTTTTTGGAACTTTCTCGAATTCGTTGACAGTGTAACGATCACTAACGGCTTCAATGAAAATCGCACCTTGAGCTCGACAAACAACCTCCAGGCCCGTGCTATTTGGGCTGGGCCGTACTCTCCCAGCCAATGGGTAATAAGGAACCAGAGCTTTAGCTAATGCAGCTTTTAAACGAGCAGTGGTTGTAACCTTGTCGAGGCCCGGGCCGGGCCTGTAAATTAAAAGATATTCAATGGTGAAGCGGAGAAAAAGTTGTGAGTCTATAGATGAAAGTAACATCACACAGCTTGGTGTGGGCTCTGAAGGGGTTACCACCACAGCTTCTTTAACACGCACCGAACTTCCCATGTGATTAGTTTACTTTGAAGCTATGATATGAATTTGAAAGACAAGAGAAGGTGGAGAGAATTAATTAACAACTTTTTTTAGAAACTTTGGATTGTGAATTGTTAGGTGTTTATTTAAAGGAGAAGAGAAAATGGAGGGAGGTTTTAATTTGTAAGGGGACCCCGGGCTGGTTTGTGTGTCTAACTGTGAAAGATTTTTGGAAAGATTCTGTGGGCATAACTTTACGCAAGAAAATGAATAACAAAACAAAAATAGTAAAAACAGCTGTGATGTCTGTTGGGAGAACCTATGAAATGGCAATTGGCTACTCATTTCTCCATCACTACCTGGATCCAAATTAAAGTATCAACACGTACCCAAATTCCTTTTTCTGTTTGTGACAAGTTAAACGATTTCTGTGGTTGGTTACTTCATTTATGATATAATGTATGTCTCTTTCATTTTCATGTTGCTATACCTAGTACAGTTCTCATGCATCTAATTTTTGTGTGGGTACTATTGATATAAAAAAGTTTCAAATAAAGGAGCACTAAAAAAAACATGGTTACTTCATTTCTGATATAATGTATGTCTCTTTCATTTCCATGTTGCTATACCTAGTACAATTCTCATGCACCTACTGTTGATATAAAAAAGTTTGAATCAAAGGAGCACTAAAAAAACATTGTCAAAATTAAGAACGATCTATGAGGCTGTAGGCTAAAAAGCATTTTTATATAGAGATGATCGTCTGACGTTATTGCAGAAAAGTTAGACTATCGTTCAAGTATTTTTGTTTGTTAGATGAATTGAGAGTGCGATGATGTTGTGTAGAAATGTTGTAAATTAATAAAAAAACTAATTTGTAAACACTGAAAAATGATTGAACTAAGAACCCCTATTGTCTTGCTTCTACCTCTACTGCTAAAGGTCATCATCCCATACCATATACCACTGATTGTTGATGTCATTACATTGCTGCCGTAGAATCTTATGCTTTCATCTTCGTCATGCTCATTGTCGGTCTTCTTTGCAGTCGACAACATGCTACTATCAACTTTTGTCATTGTCACCCTGTTCTCTTTCGTCCGTCTTCAAATCGATATCATCTGACCTCTTCTCTCTCATATTTCTCATTTTGTTTTTCTTTCTTTTGATTTTGTTCCTTTTCAATTTGATCTGATCTAGTTTCATTTGTTTTGAATGTATTATTGTCGCAATCGAAATTCATTTGGTACTGCTACCTTTTGATTTGCATGCCATGAGTGAGAGAGAGTGTAACCAAAGAAAAAAGTGATCTTACCGGTTGATCAGAACCTGCAAGGTGACCGAATGATGATATTCGGTCGGACTGTGATGTCGAGGAGGAAAAAGGGAGTTGTACCTGCAAGACACTCTGACGATCAAGTAAGAGTGGGAGCAAAGAGATACAAGCAAAGTGTTAAGGTATTAGTGGTGAATAATGAATATTTGATACCTGACATTCACATGTGTGAGGCTTTATATAATGCCCCTGACGCATGACCATTGGTTTCTGTTTTTAGGCCTGGATATGTGGGTCCGTAAAAATAGGTAATTGTCAGGACTTGGTCATATCGGACAATAGCCGTTAGATCCGAGGAGGAGGTAGGTTATGGGCAGCGATTTGGTCGGTTCCTGATTGTCTGCGCGACTTGAAATCGGGCAGACTGAGAGGTGCTCGTCGATCATCTTAGGCCAGTATCGATTTGGGAGGGCAAATGGTCGATATCCCCCGACGGAGAACAGGGAGGTTCGAGCCATGGGCGGATGGACCGTACGGAAAGAAGGGGAAAGACTGGGCCCACGTTTAGCTGTCGGGTCAGTCCAGAACAGTAGCCCCCAAGTCGTTGCTATTGGGCATAGGAGTGATGACTTTTAACAACTGTTCGTAGAACGGGTCGCGTCTTACAAGGAGAATGAATGTCGCCCGTTGTGCCTTTCTCGCGGGGAGAATGAGAAGTTGGCCGTTAGGAGCCTTGAACTTGAAGAGGTAGTATGTTTCGGGTAGTGTGCTGACGAAGCGGTGTAATGATGGCCTAAGAGCTAGGGTGTAATAATGACGACTCTAGTGTTTCCCAGGCGTGTGTCTCGTACGCGCGGATGGTCTCAGCTATAAATACAAGAGGAGTAGGGAGTTATGTGTTTTTTCGTTCTCTATCCCAATTGCTCGTAATCGCTCGCTTGTTGACCATCGTCATTTCTTGAGATTCGCTGCTCGCTGCTGTTATTTCCAGCCTTCCTTCTCCTTTAACTGGTTACATTTCAGTTTTATATTGTCGTTTGTCTTCAGTAGTTCAGATTTTCATGATTTTCTTCTTAGTAATGCATGCAACTAGGGTTTAGGATTTTGTCTGTTAGGGCGTTCTTTGGGAGTGTTGGTTGTAGACGGTGGTTCTGTAGTTTAGAATCTCCGGAATCGTCGTGGATCCTCTCCGTACATTTCATGATGTGTCGTAGACGGTCCTTTAGGGCCTATGGCTCTTCCTCGAACTTCTTCCTGTTTATGCGCCTTAGTGAGGGTTCGGGTCGAGGACATGATCCTCGTTTCCCATCTCTCTTTCACTTGATTAGCGGTGGAAGGGTGGTTCTGGCAATGATGTTGAACTCATCTTCATCATCTACTTTTCAGGTACTATGGACGACAACGCCCGGGTTGACCTCTCGAGCGAGTCTTCTGGATCTTCACGGAGTTCTTCAGATGAGGCGAGTAGCTCATAGAGCATTCTGGAGATTTCCGGGGACGAACTAGATCATTCGAAACAACAAGTGGGGGGAGGTGATGTGGAGACGATCTCCGCAGATCAAGGTTGCTTGTTTCCCCCAGGGATGAAGAGGATATGCGGGCTTGGCTCGCGAATGATTCTTAGGACTGGCCCTCTTTTTCTTCGAGCATCGGGATGATGTTTTTACTGAGGTGTACACCCAAGAGGAAGGAAACCGGGGAGAATGGTTGCTATGTATTCCCGGGAAAGAGAGCAGGATCTGCTCAAAATATGACAGAAGTCGGACTCCCATGTACGACATCATGTTCCGGGAAATGGGTCTTCGACTCCCCTTCTCTAATTTTGAGGTGGCCGTATTCAGGCATTTGTGATTGGCTCCTTCCCAACTTCACCTGAACGGCACTACGTTCATGCGAGTGTTCGAGATCGTTTCTGATTACCTGAAGATAGGGACTACCATTCCCTTGTTCTTTTACTGCTTTCACCTTCAGAGGAGAAAGATCGACAGCAAGTGGGGATGGATCGCTTTGAAGCAAGGCAATGAGGAGCTGTTCAAAGCCTATTTGGAGTCTGTCCGTCACTTCAAGGATAAATATATACTGGTGCAGCCTTCCTCGAGCAAGGCGATGTTGAATGTTTTCAATACCATACCGACGTGTGACGAGGACGGTGTCCCCCGCTTGAACGAGCTGTGAGACCCTATCGTCAAACTGGTCTACAAGTTCCTATTCTAGTGGACGAGGAAGAACTTCGATAACAAGTTGGGTTCCTACATTTGGAGGGAGGGGGCTTGACGTCGAGGGCCAAGAGAGCTTCTCTGTCCTGACTGCCTTTGTGGCCCGGATGCCTCGTGCCTAACGAGTGGGTCGTGGAGGCAAGCCTGTGATTAATAAGAACATGGAGGCTGCATACGAGCCAGTCCTCATAATCGTCAAAGAGCTCCTTGAGTATTTGGGTACTTATGTTTTGAATAATTACATGCGCTCGTCGCTTTTTTAAATCCTCGTTTACTAACTATGATTCTTTTTTTGTTTTTTTTGCAAATAGCATGAATCCCGCTCTAGAGCGCCTAGCCAGGACTCTTGCTGCTAGAGCAAAGAAGACTCAGAAGGACGTCTAAACTGGCTCGGGGTCGCTCCTACTTCAGGGCCGGGCAATTAGTCTTTGGGTCCAATAACGGTTGCTCTCTCCCCTGACCCCGTATCTTCAAAAACGAAGAGACCGCATGCTAAGGGAAGTGTCGACCTGACCGCGGAAAAGAGGAAAGGGACGTACGACCTACCCCGTTGCTAGTTGGAGAAAACTTTCTTCGAGGGTGCAGCTCTTCGCCTCCCTCGGGCTGAGTCCCTTTATCTCGAGGGTTTGGGTCGCCCAGAGAAGAGGGCGATGATGGTGTAGGATTCCAGTGGTTTAAGGCGGATTCTAGAGATGATTATTGCCTATACCGAGGGGAGTTCCTCCTAGGAGGCTGAGTTGAATAATCTTCGGGCCAAGTTGGCCGTGAGCGAGAAGGGGCAGATCGACGAGGAAAAGGCCTAGAGGCTATTCGTGAAAGAATCAGGGAGACTCTTCAAGGAACACAAAATCCTGTTGCTTGAGAAGAAAGATCTCGAGAAGAAGGTAGTGGCCCTTACTTCCAAGGTTACACCAGCCTAAGATGAGCTAGAGGATACAAAAGGTTTAAAGACTCGGGCTGATCTTGTTGCTCGTTATCAACCGGCGGTGGATGATGCCCAAGCTGCCTCCGAAGGGAGTTTTGAGAATACAGTGAAGTAGATGCACCTACTAAACCCCAGGGTCGAACTCAACACTTCAGGTATGGGGGTAAACTATTATGTGGCTGCTGGTAAGATTTTGATCCCCGATTACCTCAAAGAGTTTGTTGCTCAGCCTGTCGAGGGTCTTGGCCAGCTATCGCCTGTCATCGAAGAAGAGGCTGAAGGATGATTGTCAGTTTTGTTCTGTTTCGGCCTGCGTGCTATATTGTTGTAATTATGTTTTTCCATGCTCTTTCCCGTTTTATGTAATTTCCGAATAAGCATGGTCTCTCTGGCCACAAATTCATTCTTTTGGATGGGGCGTTAAAACCCTCCTTTGTTGTAATATTCACACAATAATGGCCCAGGTGGTCGTTTCTATTAGTTTTCTGACCATGATGGTCGTTTGTTCAGAAGATTTAACTTGTGTTTGCATGTTTACTAATAATTTTGTCCGTTTGGGATATCTTTTATTTTGCTAAGAGTTTATAGCGGGGATTTTTCGTTTAGTTTGTATGTTTGCCAATGTGGGGAAACTGATCAAACGACCAGGGTGAATACCGGGCATGAGCCAGAACTCAGGTCTCGTTTTGAGGGACCTGGGTTCGGCAGTGTGAACTTCTTGTCACAAGCCAGGAGTTCGTGGCATGAGGACTATGGAGCTCGATCGAGTTATCCATGTTGGACTGATGGTGCGCTCGTTATAAGAGCGGAGCTTCGCCCCTTCTGAATAGTTTAGGTGTTATGCTTGTGCCTAGGCATGCACGCGTGGTCGGGCCTAGGTGAGTTTGTCTTGTCAACAAAACTCACTGACTGCTCAGTGTTTTAACTGTAATATTGTTTTATCTTTTCAGTGTTCCATGACCGAACGAGTTGTTCCCTTGTAAGTTTTCCAAATAATACGCTATGCTCCCTGTTTTCATGTAGATGCGATAAGGACCTTCCCAGTTCGCTGCGAGCTTTCCCTCACGAGATTCTTTGCAATTTCTCTTTAAGACAAGGTTGTCGACCTTGAACTACTGTCGTATGACCTTGGAATCGTATCATATGGCTATCTTTTGTTTGAGTGAGGCCTCTCATAGGGCCACTCCTGTTCTGATTTCTTCTACTAGATCCAGTTCCTCCCGAAGGGCGACGTCGTTCATCTCCTCGTCTGGGGGATGAAATCACCTAACTAGACAAGTAGAAGTACAATTAAGCAAATAGAAGACATAAATTCAAACCATGTTAAAAGCATCAAGAAAATAAGAGGAAAGGGTGGATACCTAAGTGTAAGCATGCTTTGAGACATCATAAACTATCACCAAGGAATCACATGTTAACAAACATCACCTAATTAAAACAAGCATGCATGGTGAAGAGGGAAAAAAGTCAAACAAGTGGCAAGAATTGATCTAAGTCTAAGACAAGAAGTAAATATACAAAGGGAAGCCACATTGCATAAAATTAAGCATCAGTACATGTCAAAGGATCCCTTGAGGGTCATGCACAATAGGTAAGGACTTAAGAGTCACAAGAGAAGTCACACATATAAGCACACTAACTATTAAGTATTTTGTGTTCAAGTGCCTAACTTATCATGGCATATGGAGGTGAAGTGAAATGAAATAGATGAAGAAGTGTACAAGTCAAACAAAAATACATGTAATATTGATCAGTGCATTTTGATGCACATCCTTCCACGATTCAACTGCAGCTTTTGCGGAAAAATTCATAACTAATTCTACAAAAATAGGATCGAGGCGTTTGACCATGCGTTGGAAATCTAAGAAAATGACCTACAACTTTCTAGTTTTGGCCAGAAGCTGATTCGAAGTGAAGAAAGATTGAAAAAGTCGTTGAAGTTACAGCTTTAGACTTTTAAATTTTGGGTTAGTAGTTTTGGGCCTGGGTTATGTTTTCAACCCAGTTGGTTTGTAAACCGAATGGACTGTTCCTCTTTAACCAGGGGGAAGCCGCATAACGGGGGATTTTTATCACGTTTTTACTGTAGACAAAGGGAGAAAACAATTTTTGTACGAATGGGAATGGAGAACTAATCTGTTAGAGTTGATCTGCTGTAACTTGGTTTCCAAAACTTGAGGTTAATATAATTTACAATTCAATTTCTATTCATATCAATTTTGCTTTTTATATTCGTTCGCTTAATTCGAATTATCTTAGAGTAATCTTGTTGGTTCGATTGAATTATGTTTCCCAATCATAATTGCGTTATATCGTATGCTTAATTCGTTATTCCATTTGTTGATTAACCGTTTGCTTAATTCGGTGAAAAGGGAACATAATTCTTATTTTTTTTCATTCTCGCTTGTTGGATGAAATTATGATCGAATTTGAATAGGAATCCGCTTAGGGAAGTTAAATTGTATTAATCGATGATAGTAGGAACCCAAAACAGTAGATCGACTTATTTCATAATCACTTATTTTAAGCGCTTATTTTATGTTTTTTTTATAAATCGTCCTTAAAACCAAACCCCCTCCCCCAATTCGATTTCTATTAGTTAATAACAAAATCAAGAATTCTTGCGATACGACTCGAGCCATTGTCGCTATACTGCATTTTACAAAATATTCGTTTTTGATTTGTGTGCGACAGCGGATCAAATATCAATCATTCAAGTATCATAATCATCAATGAAAGAAATATCATGAGAAGCTCAAGGTAAAGTAGCAACGATAAGCGATTAAGCATGGTAAACTTCACACAAGTATATCAACACTTATCATCACATATCGATTCTTAACTACACAAATATATTTCCCTTGAGAGAGGGACTCAGATCAAACATTTCCTACAATGGTAGGACTTCCAGTCATGCATCTCTATCCTACTTCTCATGGACAGATTAATTGAAAACGTTGCAAGAATAAAAAAGTAAAGAGATCTCAAGTGATACCTAACGGAGAAGGTTCGTTGCCTCTTCAAAGTCACGCAAGCGATAAGAAAACTCCACACGAAGCTTCCTTGATAAAGTACCAATCTCAATTCTTTTAAAATCGCATGAACGTTTAATGAAACATAAAACCTATTCTTATCAAGCTTAGGTGAGGAAAATCCCAAAATGTTGCACCAGCGCAAAGAGAAATTTCATACTTCGCAGTAGGACTTTAAATAAACGGAAATTTCCTACTTCAAGGTAGGTCTTTAAATAAATAGAAATCGCCTACTTCAAGGTAGGTCTTTAAATAAACAGAAATCTCCCACTTCAAGGTACGTCTTTAAATAAACAGAAATCACCCACTTCAAGGTAGGTCTTTAAATAAACAGAAATTTCCTACTTCAAGGTAGGACTTCAAGTGAAGTTGCGCTATATGCATCTAGCAAGCAATGAAAACCTAGCATGATGTGTGATAAAAGAGATTCCAGTGGTACTTAACAGAGAAATGTTTGTTTCTTTTTCAACGCGCACAAAATAGTTCAAGAAATATGTCAGAAACTTCACCAGCGATCAACCAAATTAGTCCTTAAGCGCCTAATATCTCAAAAGTTGCATCAACATTCTATCACTAAATCAATACCAAGAAAATAGCAACAAAAGTTAATTACGAAGGGTGAAAAAAATAATGACAAATTCTCAATTAAATTCTAAAAGAGAAATTATAAAATTGACTAGCAAATTTTACTATTTTTGCATCATTTTTGTATCATTAAAATCATGGAAACAAATTGAAGCTAAAACTAATAAAAATGGATAAGTGAAAGTATAGTAAAAACAAAGGGAGGTGTATGACTGATCTAGAGGCAGAATCCAGCAATGGAATGAGGTGCTAGGCCCACCCTCTTTTGTTCAATGCTTCCCAGCTTTGTAAAACAAAAATGGTACTATTGGCCCAGGAAATGCAAACTCGGTCCAGGTCCACTAATGTACAACCACCAAAATTTCAATAAAATCAGTATATCAGTATTAAACTTACTTATCAGAAAAGAAAAGAGAATAAAACAAAAAGAAATTGAAATGGTGCAAATCGTGAAATTAGGGTGAAAAGGAAAGGGAGAATAGGACGTTTGAGATTCCTTCCAAACGCGGTGATGCTTTTCTCTTCGAATAGGCGTTCTTCTTCGTCGCGATTTCGTGATCTTTTCCATGATTTCCCTTGTTTTTCTGTCATTATACATTCTCTGAATTTTCTATCCATGATTTTCGGATTTCCTGAACAAAATACAGAGCTGGTCTTGGTTTGGTATTTGTGGACTGACTTACTTGGTTTATAGTGCAGCAGATTTGAATATTTTATTTTATATATGGGTTTAATTGAATGAACAGGGCAAACTTTGGAAATAGATGGCAAGTCCGCTTGAAGGTATTCCTTGGCATAAACATGAAGGCACATGAAGAAACAAGATGGGTGAAGATACATCTGGAAAATTGATCAAGAATAGCATTAGGATTAAGGATCAAACTTTGTAATTCTTTGAGTTCCAACAATAAACTTAAATTCAACGCACACTTTTCCTTTCCAATTGTAATTTTGACATTCCAAGTATTTTCCTTGATTTTGCAATATAGAATAAACCATGAATCTTGAATGAAACTTGTGTGAGTAGAAACTTGAATGATGGATGGGTAATGATGATGAAGAATGATATTGTTTTGCTCTTTGTTACTTGGATGGTTTATTGGTATATTTTGTAATGGAATGGCATTGGAATGAATGTAACTTGAATTGAAATTGAATGAAGAATTTTGTTGGAAATTTTGAATAGAATTGAGTGATGAATAAAGATGCATCAAGTGAACTTGAGTGAAACTTGAACTAAGCCTTGAATCTTGTCTTGTAATTTTATTACTTCCAAGTGAACAAATTTTCTAAACTTAGAATATGAATCCATTTTTTCAAATTTGTATTTTGTATACCATATGAGTGGGTTTCCAACATTAACCTTGAGTTAAACTTAAACATGCCTTGAAATTAGAACTTGTAACCTATCCTTGAACCTCTAGATTCAAATTCTCAAGATCAAAGTTATCTCGCAGTTGAAATAATAAAGATTGCCTTGATCAGAATGAATCCACTAAATCACCTTTGTACCGTAGCTCACACTTTGTATCTCAACCAAATAGATTCTTGGTAAAGAAAAGCAATGCATCTTTGAGAAAATACTTTGATGAAGCTCAACCCTAATCCACTGAGTCTCAATTGATGAAACAATTACACACAATGAATGTGAAACCAATGAATAACAAAACCCTAACTACATGATCCTATGAAGAAGAAAGCTCAATTGGAGCGCCATTGTTGACAACCCTAAATTTGATTACACATAGGGAATTAAACCCTAATAGCCTTGTATCTTGAAGAGAAAGAATTTCAGGACAACCATGGATCAAAACCCAAATTCCAATCCTCGCTGCTTGAAGAAGAAACAGAAGAAATCAACCTTTATTTGATGCAGAAGTCTCAAACCACTGTGAAAACCTAATATTGCCGGTCTTTTGAACCCAAGATGCTTTATGAATGAATGTATGTATTACTAATGAAATGAGAAGTCTAAGCCAGATAAAAGAAAAATAGGAGGGCAAATTTTAGGGTGCAACAACTGCCCCTATTCAATCTTCTTAAACATGAGGGTGAGATTGGCGCTAGCCTTTCAAACTTTCAAGGTGGAAGAGGATTGAATACTGTTCTTGCTAAACACCAAATATGAGACTTCCCTGCCGCTTGGAGGAGGACAGGGAGAGCCTTAAACAAATGAGAGGGTGTTGTTTATGATATTGAGGGATTCAGAGGCTTACACAAGTATGTGGGTGCTCCAAGATGTGTCATATTACTTACCCCTCAGTCGGGAGCCCTATTTATAGAGGTGCATGAACCTCATTGATTACTGCATGTAACTGTTGTGGCTTTCCATGTTACGTAACTGAGTTGCCTTAAAGGCAAGTGACATCCTCCATCGTCAATGATGGTTATTATCATAACATGCGCCATCGTATAATGATGAGCGGTTACGCCCTCAATGGTCTGGTTATTGTGCAACGACTCCATTAAGATCGGGCTCAGGGTAACCTCTGGATCTAGGGTATGAGCCTGTTTTCTACCTCTTCATCTTCTTCCGCAGCAGATTACATGACCCTCCGATCACACAACCCGTTTTAGGCCTCGACCCAGGATGGTAACCGGATGATTGTCTACTTGCTTTTCTCGGTCTTTCAACCATGTTTTGCCTTTTATCTCTTCTAGCCCAGGAAATAGATCTATGTATGAACAAATACCAATAGAACTGCAAATTCTTCACTCTGGGAAACAAAATAACGTCAAATATATATGTTTTTTGGGTTTTTTGTATTTCCTATTTTAGTTTTGGAAAGGTGGTCACCTGATGGTGGAATTTTAGAAATGAACACCGATCGAAGGAGAACTTACCCTGAAATGAAATACTAGCCAGAGGTAGACTCTTAACAAAGATGCCAATAAACATTGGAAATATATGTCAGGCCGAGGGAAGACATACACATGAAAGAGACTTGCCGAAGGAGACTCTTAACAAAATACATTTGGGAATTTATGTCAGGCCTAAGGAAGACATAAACAAGAAAGATATTAGTAGATATTTGAGATATATGTCAGGCCGAGGGAAGACGCATAAGGGAAAGAGACTAGCCGGAAGAGACTCTTAACAATAGACATTTTGGAGAAAAAATGCCAGGCCGAGGGAAGGAATAAACATTGGAAGCATATGTAAGGCTGGAGGAAGACATATACATGAAAGAGACCAAACAAAGGGGACCCTAACAAGGAATACTAGCCGAAGGTAAATTCCTTAGAAAAGAACGCCGATCAAAAGTGAACTTTCAATGAAAAGAAGACTAGCCGGAGGTAGATTCTTAACAAAGATATTAGAAATATATGTTAGGCCGAGGGAAGACATATAAAGGAAAGAGACCAACATAATGGGACTCTAACAAGGAATACTAGCCGAAGATAGACTCCTAAGAAAAGACGCCGTCCAAAAGTGAACTTTCAATGAAAAGAAGACTAGCAGGAGGTAGACTTGTAACAAATATATTGAAAATATATTCCAGGATGAGGAGATACATATAAAGGAAAGAGACCGACCGAAGGGGACTCTAACAAGGAATACTAGCCAAAGGTAGACTCCTAAGAAAAGAACACCGACCAAAAGTGAACTTTCAATGAAAATACTAGCTGGAGGTAGACTCTTAACAAAGATATTGAATATATATCAGGTCGAGGGAAGACATATAAAAGAAAGAGACCGACCGAATGAGACTCTAATAAGGCCGAAGGTAGACTCCTAAGGAAAGAACGTCGATCAAAGGAAAACTTACAATGAAAATAAGACTAGCTAGAGGTAGACTCTTAATAAAGATTTTGAATATATGTCAGGCCGAGTTAAGACATAAGAAAGAGATCGATCGAAGGGGACTCTAACAAGGAGTACTAGCCAAAGGTATACTCCTAAGGAAATAACGCCGACCAAAGGTGAACTTAACTGAGAATACAAAAAAAGACATTGAATCTGAACATAACATCGATCGAAGGAGAACTTACAAATGAAAAAGAGACCAGTCGAGGGAGACTCTAGACAAGGATTCTGATTAGATCCGGATAGAACCCCAATCGAAGGCGAGCTTATACAGGAAAAAGAGACTAGCCGAGGGGGACTCTGACAAAGATTTCCAACCTAAGTTGGACTTCAAGAGCCTGACACAGAAGCCCCTCCTCGGCCAAAATAGAAGCCTTAGCCCGTCGATTAATTCGAGCTTGTTATTTCTTTGTCTAGTTTGGCCTGTGTGTTACTTTGTTGTAATTTGTTTCAGGGGCTTTGCCCGTTGATGCAATTTTTAAACAATCATAGTCCACATGGCCACTGGCTCGTATTTTTGGATGGGGGATTCAGGCTCTCTTTATGTAATGTTCTTGACAATTGCGGCCCATGTGGTTGTTTTAATGTTTTCGACCTTGGTGGTCGTTTTATTTTATCTGCAATGTTCATCTTTTTGCTTTTGCCTGTGCAAGATCTATTGCTTAATGTTGTCAAATGCTTGCATGTTTGTATGCTCGTCCGCTTGAGACATTTATTGCAACACCTCATTTAAATATTTAGTCATTTGATGATTGGATTTATAGAACTATGTTGGCTTGACTAAGGGAGTGTGAGAACTTAGTATGATTCGACAATTGGAGTAAGATTTCAAATAATATTATAATAATGATAACTCTGGTGAAGGATGAAATATCTCATTAATATTAATAAAAATATTATTGTTGATTAAATGGTGTATTTGCCGCTAATGATATTATTATTATTAATATTATTATTATTATTATTATTATTATTATTATTGGTAAATAATAAGGAATAATTGGGAGAATGGTATAACAAATTGGAAGAATTATTTTCACGTGAAAAGAAGAGTAGAGAAGAAAAGCTAGGGCAAAAGGGAGACAAGGATAATCCCACCATTTTTGAAGGATCAAAGCTCCAAACAAAGGTAAGAGGGAGAATGTGTTCTTTAATGGTGATTATAACACGAAAGGGTAGTGAGGTTTCCTTTCCCTCTTAGGGTTTTGTGTAGATTTTATGTATTATGATTCCTTTTGTTGATTGATGATATACCTATGTGATTATATGTAGAATTGTGAATAACTTGATGTCCATGATATGATTGTTGTTGATAATCTTTGATGTTGTGGTGTTGTTCCATGAAATTCCTAAATTGAAATTGTAGATCTAGAGTGAGATGATGAAGAGTGAGGTTTTGATGCAGAAATTTGTTATAGAATAATGGTTGAATGAAATTGAATTAGGTCTATGAGTTTTTATGTGTAAAAACATTGTTTTAGGTCAAATTGGTAGTTTAGAAGTGGGTAAAACGAGCAAAATTTGCACTGGTGCAAAAAACAGGACTTTTGTGGTTTGGTCTGGTCATACGCGTATGGGGGAGGCCATACGTGTATGTGGGACATTCCCAGGGGGCCGTACGCATATGGTACGTGCCCTGTCCCTAAGCCAACACAACTTTCTGTTGGAACATGTATGATACGCGTATGAGAGGAAAGTCATACGCGTATGGGCTAGCCATTACGCGTATGGGAAGTTTCTGGAGAGGATTTGGGGGAAATTTCCCTCTGGTAGTACGTGTATGATATCCGTATAGGATGTGGCTGTTTTAGCCTTATGCGTTTGATACGCATGCAGTGGGGCGAGAAAGAGGCCATACGCGTATGGGGCAGGGTCATATGTGTATGGGCAAGCTGATGTGCAGAAAATTCTGTTTTTACAATTTCTTTCCCGTTTTTGTGTGCAGTGTAATTTCTCTTGGTATATAATGACTAGTATGACTTAGACATATATATGAAGGTTTGTAATAATGGGAATTATGTTGAAATGTAGAACTTAGTGGGAATTGTGTATGGTGTTGATGTTGAGTGATGTGACCTAACATGTGGTTGTTGTATGAATGATGTATGAAGGAATTGCTATAATATTATGTTGTTGTAAATGTTGTTGTTATCGAATATACATGATAAATATATAACATGTTTAGTGATTGTGGTGTAATGATGTTATGTTGTTGTAGTGTTGTTGTTGTCGAATATACATGAGGAATTGCTAATATGCTTAGTTTTTGTGACGTTATGATACTATGTTGTGAGACTATGATATTATGATGTGTAATGTTGTTGTTATTGAATGTTCATGATGGATTGATAATATGCATAGTGGATTGTGATAATATGACACCGCTTTGTTGAAATGTTGTTG